GCGCGCGTGACGTGAGCGAATTTTCATCAACCAGTATTCGAAGTCACTGATTCGTTTTCGCACTGCGCACGCGGGAGCACGCACGCGCACGCACGCGTGCGCGGGCGCGAGCGAGAATGACAGATCATGGTGTGCCAACACATTGCTCCACGCTGGGGCCCTGAGAATACGAGTGAAACAATTGGATGTTCACCATTCTGTGATCGACGATCATCTGTCCATGACTTAGTCGTTTTTGTATTGCGCACGCGCTCGCGGGCAATGAGGGACGTGTTTTGTGCCACCACGTTGAGGCCGTCGGACTACAGGTGAAAGAGTTGATTGTCACCGTTCAGTTTTCGAACTTAGGATGGCGATTCCCCGTTGGTTTTCGTATTGTGCACGCGAGAGTGCGCGCCATGCGAAACGTGTTTTGTGTTAGGGGTGTTCAGAAGGAGTGAAACAGTTGATTTTCACCATTCAGTGTTCCCCGGTCAGTTGGCCATTCACGATTGATTCTTGCATTGCGCATTCGCGCGCAGTAATAATCAACACGCATTGTGTTACAATAGTTACGTCATATGACGTCGTGGCGCAGTGCACGCTATCATGCAGCGGGCCCGAATATTTGAAACCATACGGAGTCGGTGCTCCCAGATTAATCATCAATTGGCGTTCGCTTAGTCAGCTCACCCAGGGAGCGCTTCAACACTGCGCTCAACTAAACAGGCCGCATCTTCAGGTTTCCGCAATTGTCGGAAAAATCATCCGCCACCGCCGCCTCAGCTCCGAGGGATTTCGGAATACGGGTGCTAAATACCGCTGTCAGTGCGGGCGAGGCGAATATTCCTAAGACAGGAGGGTCCTTCAAAGCCGCGGGGACAACTCAATGACATGAGTGATGACGCGAGAGGGATCGCGATGGTTCGTCCAGCCGGTGAGACAGAGGCTCCCTTGCTGGGATAAGTTGACCTCATCAAGCTCCATGTGGGGATGCTTCAATACGCTGGAGTCTTGAGGGCGCCTCTAGAGCCCACACGATCCCCAGGAGTCATGAGGAACCCTGGGGACTCCTAAGGAATCCTCTGTGAGTCAGGCAGGGATTCTTCGGAAACCTCCTGGAGTCGGCACGAGTCCTTCAAGAACCTCCAGGAATCCTCTAGGAAATCTTCAGGAGTCCCTGGGAAACTTCGGGAGCCTTCAGGAATGCATGGAAGCTGGAAAAAGTAACTGGGGCCAGCCCTTCCACTCTTTCAAGCCCTGGCCAGTTTCCCTCCATTTTTTCCAGCCCTGGCGACCGCATCCCTACTATTTCGGGCTCGCTTCACCCCCTGCCAGTTTTGTCCAGCCCTAGCCACTTCCATTTTCATTGATTTTCCAACCTCCACTTTTTTCCAGCGTCGCTGTACGCAGAAACCTGCAGAATCCCGAGTTACTTAGGGAGGAGGATGTGGGGGGGTTCCTCTGTGGCCAGGAAGGTGACCTGGTTGTTGCGTAGTGCGTGCTGCAGACAGCGGGCCCCCCTCGCTGCGCGACTGCATGCGGAAAAGCAATGAAAGCCACTGGAGATCAAGACGAACCAACCCGAGACGGGCCAAGAGAGTCCAAGACAGCCTGATCCAAGACAGTCCCCAAAAACCTATCTAGCTTAGAGCGGCTTGGGTATAAGCTGGTCTGACATCCAGGACACCTGTGGGATCCTTACTAACCCCCCCGAATCCTTAGGGACCCTGCGGAATCCGCAGGGACCCTTCCCGAACCTGGTAGAGGAATCCACATGGAATTCACCGGATTCCTTCCAGAATCTTCAGGGTTCTTTTTTGGGAATCTTTCAGGAACGGCCCAGAGCTTTCAGAAACTGTCAGCAATCTGCGGACACCAACAACATCCCGAAGTTTATCTTCTCCAGGCATCTTCCCAGGATCCTTCAAGAATCCTCTCATAATCGATGAAATGCATTCTAAGGACACCGCAGGACTCCCCAGAAATAGTATGTTGACTCTCCTCTAAGATCCTTTAGGGCCACGCATTCGCCCTCACAAGTTCTGGGGGTCGCGAGGGGGACGGAACAACCCAGCATGTTCTCGATTCAAGGGCGTTTCTCTGAGCGCCGTGCGAAGGCAGGGCTTTGATGTAAGACGCAATTGCTTTCGAGTAGCGAAAAGGCGTTGAATGGTGAGATTGAAAGTGAGGCGCTCATGCTCGCAGTGCAAAAGCGCCCTCCTCCTCTTCGTCCTCCTCCTCTTTCATTTCCTTTCCGTGCTCCTCCTCTTCGCCCCTCCTCCCCCTCCTTCCATTATGAACTGGGGACTTAGGTACTCCAGCTAATGAGCATATCGTTAGTTAGCCCAGCGAGGGAAGGAGAAGGCAGGGGGAGGATCAATCAGGAGAACACGTGACCTGCGCGGCCGTGTTGCGGTGAGGATTCCAGCAAGATTCCGCGAGGATCCCTGCTGGTTTCTACGGATTCCCGAAATCATCCGTGGAGATTGTAGTGGCCTTTGGCCAGTGCTGCCGATCTGGGGCGCTCCAGATGATGATGATGATGCTGATGATGATGATGATGATGATGATGATGATGATGATGATGATGATGATGATGATGATGATGATGATGATGGTGATGTGACGATGGTGATGGTGATGGTGATGGAGATGGTGATGATCCTGGCCCCCGGCCCGCCCCCCAACCCCCCACCTCTCTCCTGTCCCCTCCCCCTCCCTCTCTCCTTTCCCCTCCCCCTCCCCCCTCTCTCCTGTCCCCCCCCCTCTCTCCTGTCCCCCCCCCTTTCTCCCTCCCCCCTCTCTCCTGTCCCCCCCCTCTCCTTTCCTCCCCCCCTTTCTCCTGTACCCCCCCCCTCTCTCCTTCCCCCCCCCCCTCTCTCCTGTCCCCCCCCCCCCCCCCTCCGGGGGGAGGAGAAGCGATACCAACACCACCAGGGGGCCCACCTCCAGCGAGGAGGTCCACGATGCCTCCCCGAGCTGGATGCTGGGGATGTCTCGAGCGAGAGGGGGGGACCACACCACCAGGGAGACTCCCCTTGTCTCCTCGCACCTCCTCGCCCTGCTGGTGTTGGTGTCGCCTTTCCTTGTTCCCACTCTCTCGGAAAATGGGCAATGCAAGAGCGAAGTCATGAGGCCTTGGCGCCGCCGTGAAGCAGCGTCGGGACTTCACGCGAAGACGATGAGTAATCGGCAAGACAAATTGAAATTCTGATGAGATTCTGATGATATTGATGAATGAGCTGTTGCATTTCGAGATTGCTCGCGCATACTGTGCATACTGTGCAAATCCCATAACATTTTTGACCCTGACCCCGACGATCTGCGTGAGGGGTGCCACCAGATTTCAAGACATGTGGCAAATCCCATCGGTTGTTCGACCCAGACCCTGCCGATCTGCGTGAGGAGTGCCGGCGAATTCAGAAATGTGGCAAATCCCATTGGTTGTTCGACCCTGACCCCGGCGATCTGCGTGAGGGGTGCTGCCGAATTTTAAACATGTGGCAGATCCCATGGGTTTTTCGACCCTGACTCCGCCGATCTGCGTGAGGAGTGCCGCCGAATTATAGAAATGTCGCAAATCCCATGGGTCTTTGGACCCTGACCCCGCCGATCTGCGTGAGGGGTTGTCAATTTCGGACTCCCCCAGAAATTCTGAGAACCCTCCCAGGAGACGCTAAGTTTGCTGGTTTTCGGCTCCCCCCTCGCGCGGTCTACAACAAGGAACAATAAGCACCATAAAGCAATACTGTAACAGTGGGAACTGGAAACTGGAACTGGTGCAGGGAACAGCAAGCCCTGGTTCTACAGCCTGGTGGCCCCACAAGGGGGCCGGCGGATTTACAAGGGCTCGTGTCCTTGGGGGAGCGGGCACCGCATGATTTACAGGGGATCCTGTCCCTGGGAGCGCGGGCGCAGCGTAATTCATAGAGTGCGAGCGCCGTTGTTCACGAAGGATCGTGGCCCTGCCAGCGCGGACGCCCTCCAATCTACATCGGATCGTGGCCCTGGGAGCGCGGACGCAACGCTATTTACGAAGGATCGTGGCCCTGGGAACATGACTCCCGTGTAATTTCCGGAGGATTCGTGTAGGTTGCTGAAGGATCCGTGACGATTCCTGAAGGGTTCCTGGGGCTTCATGGGGTTCTTCAAATAACAGTCGGATTTCTTTGGGTTCCAGCGGATTCTTCCAGATTCCAACAGATTCCAAAGGTGTCCTGTGGTCCCGAAGGACTCCTGAGGATTCCTACAGGCTTGCTACCGACTCATATTCCGGAGGGTTCCTCAAGAGTTCCTTAAGGCTTCCTTTGGGCCCCTTCAGATTCTTGGGAATTTCTGAAGTTTCTGGAGGAGTCCACAATTCTTCCTGAAGGACTCCTGGAAGGATTCCTGCGGACTCACGCAGGTTGCTGAAGGGTCCCTCGTACACTGCGCTGCGTCCCCGCTCCCAGGACACGATCCTTGCAAATTCAACGGCGCCCGCGCTGCCAGGGCCACGATCCATGGGCAATAACGGTGCTTGTGCGCTCCCAGGGCCACGATCCCCCACCCCCCTCGGGAGTGGATTGAATTATTTTGCGTGCTAACATATCGTGGGGGAGGGGTGTTTCGGTGGTATCCCCCCTCCAGAATGAATTCGGGGTTTCCGTGCTCTTGATGATACTGGGGGGGTCGAGAGTTGCTTTTCAGGGTGATTGAGTCCGGCTTTCATCAACCTGCATGTGGAGTGCGTTTACCGAAGTCGTTTGTCGTGCAAGGCTGCCCCCTGCGCCTCGTTGGTTTCTTGGAACACTGCACGACATAACACCCCGAAGTTCTTCGAAGTTTTTCCCTGGGCATCTCATGCAGTCCGGGCCTTCCAGGTTTGTTGAGGACTCGGGGTGTTGCATGTCGGGGGCTCTGATATGAGACATTGCCTTGCTTCATTTCGCGCCATGGCTATCTTGACTTGCATTCCATTTCTTTGCACGGCCAGGGCAGATAGTTTTTTTTCCCCGATGTATTATGCCCGCTAGCAGGCGATCGTTTTCAAGGATATGGACATTAGCCAGAACACGTTCTCGGTTGAGCAGTTCGGCCGCATCTTTAAAGCTCTCTCAAAGCCTCTCGTGTCCATCCAGATACTGAGACTTTTTGGTTCGGCAACGTTGGATGACAAAGTGTGCGGTCTGATGGCTGCCTGGCTCGTGGGTGCAGCTGCCCTGATCGAGCTACATCTCAGTGACTGTGCAACCCGAGGGTCTCTGACTCCATTCTCCGCCACCAGCCCCCCAGCCGCTTCTTCTTGTACAGTCGGGACGCTGAAGAAGAAGCCCTTTTCGTTGGGGAGGGGCTCGGTGTTCCTTGATAGTTGTACAGTTTGCCTTGGGTGTTCCTTTCGTTTTCCATGGGAAGTCAGAACTTAACTTTTCGGAACAAGGGGCCTCGTTCCTTATTTAGGGTTCCTTAGGTCAAGGCCCCGACTCTACGATGCTGGTCGCACCATTCGCAACGATGGCCGGTGATGTTTCTCCCCACTCAGAGCTTGTCCCATGTGTTCTGTCCCACCCAGCTCGGCGACCCCCGTGCCCCCCTCCGCTGCCGCCCCCCTCCTCCTCCTCCTCCTCCTCCTCCTCCTCCTCCTCCTCCTCCTCCTCCTCCTCCTCCTCCTCCTCCTCCTCCCCCTCCTCTTCCTCCTCCGCCTCTTCCTCCTCCTCCTCCTCCTCCTCCGCCTCCTCCTCTTGCCCCTCCTCCTCCGCCTCCTCCTCCTCCTCCTCCTCACTCACTCACTCTCTCACTCACTCACTCACTAACTCCGTGGCGCGCAATGTCTCTGATGCTACGTCGAATCTGAGCCGGAGCGCGCAGAGACGCCATCGACCGTGCCGCGGCCGCTTCGCCGACGCTGTGCACCGGCGAGCCCACGGCAAGGCCTGACAGCAGGAAGTCGCGACGGGCTCAGAGCAGCCCCGCGCCCCCACTCAGACACCACACACGACCTGCTATATGGTGCCACAGGTCTCCGGAGAGAGTACTTTGCAACCCAGTAATTATATTACAAATCGAGAATTCTGGATCGATGTGGAAAATATGTTGCTGGATGGAAGGAGCGGGAAGGGAGGAGGAGCAGCAGGCAGAGAGACGCAAGCACCCGACCCCCGAGGGGAGAGGCCAGGCGAGACGCCCAACCGCCCACGGGGGGCTGCGGGAACCGCGCGGGAGGAGCAGGGAGGAGAGAGGAGAGAAAGGAAGCAGATAGCTGGATGATTTCAGTGGTCGGGCTCAGAACTACGACTCGTGGCTCTCAGCTCTCAGGGAAATCCGGCATTTCTCCCAGGTCTATGAAGGGCACGCCATCGCGCAACTCGTCCCATGTCAGCGTCGGCGAAGGCCCGCGGGCTGCTGCAGCCTCCCGGCAGGCGCTGATGAACTGAAACGGGATCTCTCCATAGTCTTGGCGCCGGTCCGGCCGGCTGCCCGGATCTAGGTGTCCTTCTTCTTTGGCAGGTTCTTGTCCAGGTACTGCTGGACGAGGTCTTCCAATTGGCCCGGCGGCGCCTGGCCCGCAAGGAGCCTCGCCCTGTGGTTGGCTCGCATCAGGGCCACCATCCGGTCGAAGATCTGCTCGTGCTTGCTGTCTGGGTCCTTGAATCCAAGCTCCACCTTGCAGTCCCCCTTGTTGAATGCCTTGCCTACCCGGCACACTCGAACTTGATGCTGCATGTACTGGATTCCGCCTTCGGCCCGGCAGTGGGCCAGGTACTCCTCGATGGCCTTCTTGTCGTCTTGCTCCGTGGCTGTCGTCTGGAACCACGTCAGGAGGCCGTTCCACGCGTGCGCGTGGACGAGGCCGTACTTCTGCTCCCTCTCCGCCCGGTCCATGTCGCCGGTCTTCTCCTGGTAGGTCTTCGTGGCCGTCTTCATGGCCACGATTGGTGGGAAGGACATGCCGATGAGCACCACGCGCAGGCAGACCGCGCGCAAGACGCGTGGCTGGAAGGCGTTGCTGAGCGAAAGCTTGCTGAGAATTGAGACGATGTGCCGCAACTCCGACATTTCTTTTCCCGTGGGCGCCTGGTCCGCTCCGGCCACGAACGCGGCCAGCACCTCTCCATCCCTTCCTCTTCTGCGCTTGCCTCCGGACCCCTCGCCCTCCGCGCCGGGGGCCCCGGTCCAGTCGAGCTCCATCGCCGGGCTCCGTTCGATAGCTCGGGCTAGCAGGAGGAAAGACTAGAGCTGGGCCAGAGATGTGCGACCGGAGATGCCAATGATAATGAGGGACGTCACTCATGGTGTCTTGACAGATGGGGCAAGGAGAATTCTCGACAGCATGCACAGGCACAGGCAGAATGTTCATGTCAAGCTTACATCGCCCACTTTTGAAGGCAGCCAACACGTGTTTTTTGGCAGACTTCGCAGAAGCGAACGAGGTGGAGCACCAGGGGCAGGCGTTGGTGACAACCAGATGCGTGATGAACATGTTGGCATGATCCCCCCCCCCAAGGCCCCCGCGTGACGACGATGCTGCTGCAGAGCGTACCACGACGAAAAAGTTTTACCGCATACGGAACCGTCCGCAAGCCGCGCCTGGCACGTGCACTGCTGCATTTCTGTAACACGGACCGTGCGCGTGCTCATGTAATTTCGAATGTTATGAAGCACCCGTGGCCGAATCTCATCAAACCCTATGCTGCAGAACTCGTCCCTTAAATCCTCATTCGTGAATAGCAAATTCACGTCAGTCAGGACTCCGGCAACGCAGCTGGGCTCATCCAGCATTATCTGGGCTCGCTCCAAATCGTTCAAGAACTGCGTGCGCCATGGATTTTTCGGAGCGCTGGTGCGACCGCAGATCGGAACAGTGCCGAACATCGCAGTCAAGAAGTGTTCATGATGATCAATGTGGGACAAAACACGTTGCATGAACTTCAACCTTGCTTTTGCGAGCTCATACAATGACGGCGCAACCCCTAGCCACTTCCAGACCTCGTCGTTAGGTTTTTACCGGTAGGTCACCGCTTCGCCGTCCTCTTTTCACAAGCCTCGCCGCGCATCAGTTTACGCCCTTTGGCAACGATGAACACATCAAACGATCGGTAATCTGATGGTCCGAGAGCAAACGCGGTGACAGCAGAAAACAACTCGGTGAGAACAGCAGCACGAAAAACGAGCAGACGAAGGCAAGCAGGTGCCCTTGACGACCAAAACCCGCCAAACGCACGGCAAGCCCTTTCTGCGTGGTCAAGTCTCCGTGGTTTCTCTGCAGCAGAGCTGGCAGTGTCGTGCAGATGGGGTCCTAAGTAACGAGCATCGCAAGCTCCTCTTCCAAAGCCCGTGCTGCCGTGCGTTGCCAGATCGGTGGCTAGCTGTCTGGCTGTGAGGACGGATCCCTTTCCACGCAGAGACGTGATCGACACTTTTTTGCCCCCGTGCAGGAGGGCCCCCGCACGCTCTGCCGTCTGATTGAGCTCTCTGTTCACTGCGGTGGCTTGGGTCTGAAGGGCAGCAGGCGGTAGGGCGGCAACGCGGCGCGCTGTGTCATCAACGTACGTGGTGGTGGCTAGATCGATGGGATTGCCTGTCACAACAGATGCACAAACGAACGAACCATCCTCCGGTCTAACGCGCTCATGCCACGGACCTACAACATCAGCCCAAAACTCTCGGTTGAACATGTCTGAAGCAACAGATGACCCGGGGAAAACACCGTCCCCCGGAACAAAATGCAACATGTGATTTCCGACCGCAAACGAACTGGTTGCCCTTTCGTAGTGCTGCCGCAACAATCGGCGGTCAAGCCGGTCAGGGCTGAAATCGATAATGCGGTTGAATGCCTCCCTGCGGATGGATGGGAACGCATTCACAACGTCATACAACTCTAACGAACTGCACACGTTCAACGCACGAGCACGCCAACACAACATGTTTTGGATGGCTATGGCCTCTTCGCGGGACCGCCGTTTTATGCAGCCAAATGCGTACCCCGGAACTGAGGTAAAAGGCTGACGGCGCCAAACCGCCTTGAAGAACGCCTTACTGACCGGACTTAGATTATGCAAGACACGCCTACCGCCCACAGAAGCTTTGCCGTGTTGTTTGTCGACATGAAACGCATGCGAATGATGGAACTCAACGGGGGCACGTCTGTGAGCTACAATGCTAGCGAGAAGATCTTGTACGCACCCCAAGAAAATGCCCGAACACCATCTCCCCTCCATCCGTTTCGGTTCGCAACGGCGCTGCCGCGCCCCGGCTGTTTTGCTCGACGCTTCGTGCCCCACGCCGCTGCTGATAGTAGTACGCTCGTGTGCGAGCGGTTGCTGTGTGCACTGTGTGGGCCACCATGTTCCCCGCCAGGCATCTCGTCTCCTCCCCCGCCTATATCGGCCCCGCTGGGGGATATGCTGGGGGCGTGGTTGTGCTCTTTCGTGACGACTGCGAGCTCCTCTCCTCTACCGTGCTCGTCCCAGGGAGAGTCCTCGCCGTAACGGCCAGGAGAGATGATCAAAACTCCCGCTTCATCTCCGCCTACCTTCCCCCAGGCTTGCAGAGCGAAGCCCTGGCGGCCATCGCTGAAGCCATCCCCCATGACGACGACACCTCGACATACTGGGGGGGCGACATCAAATTGCAATGGAACAATCCACGGGAAGGCGAACATGACACCGTAAGCGCGTGGATGACACTCGTCACCCAGCGCAGCGAGCACCCTGTTGCTATGGGTGGCCCCACCAGGTTGGGTACGGGTGGATCATCCCAAATCCACACCATTGCATGCAGAGCCAGCACAGTTGGCTTTTTCCAGATTCGGAAGGCCTGGAAGACCAATCTTTCCGATCACGCCCTCATCTACGCTGACCCCACCGTGCAGTCCAGCACCAGACGTCGCAACGCCATGAACCCATGGAACTTCAAGTCCCTTCCCGAAGGCGCCCACGCCGAACTCTGCTGGAACTCTGCCCTACTGGAGAGGACCTTTCAGGTTCCTCGAGTAGACCTGTCCAGGCTCGTCCAGCCTTCTGACTGGCTCCGGGCTGCGTCGCCGGGGCACCTTCCGCAAGGGTACTCTCCAAGAAACGTTGCGTCCGAGTCTACTCTGGACGACCCCCCACATCCACACGTCGGCAACGAAACTGCTCCTCCCCACCATGCAACTTTTGGATGGTCCTCTTTGGACGCCATTCCCTTTCCGCAATGATTCAATCTTGGTGGAAGAGGTGGGGCAGAAGAGCGAGGGTGCGATGCATTGGCCGCGCACTC